TCCCGGCCGGGGGCCCGACCCTGTGGCCCCTGCATCGGCAGGCGGACTCTCAACCACTGCGCCACCAGGGAAGCCCCTGGCAGGGATTTCTGAGTCCCCAGACCTGGCAGTTCAGGCTGACTCTGGAATGGCTCAGGTCCAACGCTGGATCTCAACGCAGCCCAGCCCCTTTGGGGCTCAGGAGGTGCTGCCAGGGTTGGGATGCAGAAGTGACCAGCTCCCCGTTGTTCTGGGAGCTGACGACTACTCTCTGCTTGCTGCAGGGGAAGGGGCGCAGGGAGCCCGAAGACCCCAAGAGCTGCCGAAGGCCCAGCAGCCGATCTCCAACCACCGCTGAGAAGTGCCTGAGCTTTGAGTCTGTGTCTTCCCTGCCGGAGGTGAGTGGCCAGCAGGCGGAAGGGGGATAGTGCAGAGGCGCCTGAGCCCAGATCTCCAGCTCTGCAGATGGGGCTTTCAGGCATGGGCTGTCCCGTTGGGTCCATGGGGACAGGGAATCCCACTCCCTAGGACTCTCGGGCCCTCAGGAAGCCTGTCTGGCCTGTGGGCATGCGGCTTGGTGACCGATAGCCTCTTACTCTGAATTAGAAAAGGTGCCTCTTTGGGCAGGTGCAGTCTCTGGCCAAGGGGCACAGTTATTGGAAGTGACCCCATTATAGGTCCCCTTGGCCAGGCCTCCTTGCCTAGAGCATAAAGCTCTGCCCTGCTAGTGCGCCAGACATTTAAATCATGCCTGTCCCACCTGGCAAAGCAGTAAGGTGTTGATATCTACTGGACACCTCCTATGTGCCTGATGTTTTCTTTCTTCCTTCTGTTTCCTGAGCCAACTCTACCAGGGAGAACAAGACTCAGGTTAGGTTGACGTGCCTGACATTGCACAGCTTCTAAGGGACAGAGCTCAGATTAGACTTGGGTCTGTGACCCAGAAGCCTGCACTCTTTTTCCCGCCACCCCACGCTATCTGGGGGTTATGTGGAATGGAGTCCTTTGCTCTCGCAGAGTTCCAAGGAAAGGTTCATGAGGCTTAGACCCCAGGGTGGGCCTCACAGCCAGGACATTGAGAAGCCTGGGTGACACTGGAAAAGAGTTCAGAATGGTGCTGTCTGGTGACAATAGAATGTGAGCCTCATGTGTAATTTTATTTATTTATAAAATTTTAATTTATTTATTTTAAAAAATTTATTTATTTATTTTGGCTGCGTTGGGTCTTCGTTGCTGCGCGCGGGCTTTCTCTAGTTGTGGCGAGCAGGGGCTACTCTTTGTTGCGGTGCATGGGCCTCTCATAGCGGTGGCTTCTCTTGTTGCGGAGCACGGGCTCTAGGTGCGCGGGCTTCAGTATTTGTGGCTCCCGGGCTCTAGGGCACAGGCTCAGTAGCTGTGGTGCACGGGCTTAGTTGCTCCGCAGCATGTGGGGTCTTCCCGGACCAGGGCTGGAACCCATGTTCCCTTCATTGGCAGGCAGATTCCTAACCACTGTGCCACCAGGGAACTCCCCTCATGTGTAATTTTAAATATTCTAATAGTCACATTAAAGAATTATTTAACCCAGTTTTTCCAAACTACTATCATGTCAACATGTAGTGTATTAAAAAGCTATTGGGAAGATCCCACATGCCGCGGAGCAGCTGGGCCCATGAGCCATGGCCGCTGAGCCTGCGCGTCCGGAGCCTGTGCTCCGCAACGGGAGAGGCCACAACCGTGAGAGCCCCGCGTACCGCAAAAAAAAAAAAAAAAAAAAGCTATTAATGAGGTATTTTGTACTTTTTTGGTATGAGGTTTTTGCAACGTGGACTAGCTACACTTCAGATGCTCAGGAGCCACGTGTGGCTGGCAGCCATCGTGTTGGACATTACAGGCCTAGCTCCTGGGTCCCACTGTGCAGATTCTAGACTAGAACGATTGGAATCGGGTCTGATTCCTCGGGCTGTAGAGTGTTATCCTGTGTTCTCCCTAAAGATTCGTCTGGAAAGCTGCCTGTACTGGCTGGTTTTATGATTCACATGACCTTCAAGGTGGTCAAGAGAGAGTTGCCAACTTTGCTTCCTTCCTTGCCATCCGCTGCGCACATGCAGAGTCCTGCACAGGGGCGGAGGCTGGCTGGCAGGAGCCACATCCCCGTCTTTACCCTCTGACAGGATTCCAGCACGTGGTCCTACTGCCCTCTGGATCCTGATCCACACGGGAGACCCTGGCCCCTCGGGGAAGTTGTTTAGGCCCGGGTTTCAACCCAGAACAACCCCCACGTGGGGAGCTACTGGGGCTTGAGGGAGCCGCCTCCCCTCAGGCAGGGGAGTCCTGGTGCCGTGGCTCTGACCCCATGCTGCATGTTCCCACCTTGTCCCTGTACTTTCTAGACAGGCTGCCACTGAGTGGTGCCACCACTTTACCCCATCTGTTCCTAGAATTTTTCTTGGGTTTGAGAATGTGGGCCCAGCACCGCAGCTGCAGGGTGACTAAGGGACATCCTTTCCCTAAGGACCTGCTGCCCACTCCTGAGTCATGCTCATTCTGATTGCCTGCAGTCCTAAACCGCAGCCCCTCTCACTAGGCTTTGAGCAGGCTGTGCTGTCCCCACATCTCCCCGGGTCACATGAGGGAGGTTTTTGGCTCATATGAGCTCTTTGTGTTCTCCCAGGTTGAGCCAGACCCTGAGTCTGGGACAGAGCAGGAGGTGTCTGCTGCCATGGAAGGTCCTAGGACCGAGGAGATGCCCTCAGACACAGAGGCTCCAGAAGTCCTAGAAATGCAGCTTGACACCCACCAGCTGCTGCTGGGACTGGACCCCCCGGGTGACGTGGTGGACTTCATGGTGGCCGAGAGCACCGAGGACCCTAAGGTCCTCAGCAGTGAGGACGAGGAGGAGGAGATGGGGGCCGCCCACGAGCCCGAGAGCCTCCTGCCTCCCTCTGTGCTGGACCAGGCCAGCGTCATTGCCGAGCGGTTCGTCAGCAGCTTCTCTCGGCGGAGCAGCCTGGCGCTGGAGGACGGCAAGTCCAGCGGCTTCGGGACCCCGAGGCTGACCAGCCGGAGCAGCAGTGTGATCAGCCTAGAGGACAGTGAGAAGGGCCTGGCCCGACGTGGGAGCACCACAGACCCCCTGGGCTCTCAGCTCCCTCCAGAAGTGGACATCAGTATGGGGGTGGCCGCAGAGAGTGACCCTTCTGTCAACGGGACAGAGACCCAGAGCCCAGGCTGCTCAGCGGAGCCAGACAGGCCTTCCTGCACGAAGGAATCGAAGCTTTCTTCCCGAGACCGGCTGTTGTTGGACAAAATCAAGAGCTACTATGAAAGTGCAGAGCACCACGATGCAGGCTTCAGTGTCCGGCGCCGGGAGAGCCTCTCCTTCATCCCCAAAGGACTGGTGAGAAACTCAGTCTCCAGAATCAACAGCCTTCCCAGGCCAGACCTGGAGCCAGTGGCTCCGCTGGGGCATAAGAGACAGGTGGGCTCGCAGGCAGCCTCGTGGGCCCTCTTTGACTACCCAGGACCAGGCCAGGCTCGTGCTGGGGACCCAGCTCCCTTCACAGATGCTGAGTTCCGCCCGTCTTCGGAAATTGTGAAGATCTGGGAGGAAGTGGAGTCTTCTGAGGGCAGCCCTCGGAAGGGACCAGGCCAAGGCCAGGCCAATAGCTTTGACCTGCACGAGCCCCTCTTCATCCTGGAGGAGCGTGAGCTGGGGGCCATCACTGAGGAGTCGTCTGCTGCCTCGCCTGAGCGTGCCTCCCCGACTGAGCCCCCCAGCCCGGCCCACCTGGCCCGGGAGCTGAAGGAGCTGGTGAAGGAGCTGAGCAGCAGCACCCAGGGGGAGCTGGTGACCCCGCTACACCCCCGCATCCTGCAGCTCTCCCACGTGATAGACAGCCACATGAGTGAGCGAGTCAAGAGCAAGGTCTACCAGCTGGCTCGCCAGTACAGCCTCCGGATCAAGAGCAAGTCGGTGACGGCCAGGCCACCGCAGCAGTGGGAAAAGGTGGCTGCCACCACCCCCCACCTGCAGCCGGAGGCTGGAGCACCATCTGCTGGCAGAGGTATGAAGGGGATGGGGCGGAGGGCCCTGCCTGCAAGCCTGGGATGGAAGCACCTTTTAGGAGCCAGCTGGATTCTGGGAAAGTGACCCCCTAAAGGACCTCTACCAAAAAGGGCTGGGGCGAGTCCTGGAGCGGGTCTAACGCTCAAGGCCAAGCTCCTCCTGTGGAGCAGAGGGCCTGTGGCCACGGGCCTGTTTTCCAGGAGAGCAGAAGGTCTCGTCTGTTCCTTTGACCCCTGACCCCACCCCACCCCACCCCCTTTTCTTCATTCTTCCCATTTCCCTTTGGTAAGGGCGCCGTGGATGGTCAGTGAGGTTTCTCTCCCATCACACGCAAACCCCCAGCAACCAGCCTCGCCTGGAAGGGGAGTTGAGGTCAGTCCTCATGTCCTCTTGCTCCCTCCGGCACAGGGGTTCAGGTGGCTCGCTGTCTCCTCACAGGTAAGAGGAAACCAGTGCTGTCTCTCTTCAACCACAAGCAGCCCACGGCCCAGGAACACAGCCCGCCCAAGTCCGGCTCTGCCAGGGAGCTATCGCCGCGGCGTTTCTCCTTCAGCCCCTCGGCCACCAGCCCGAGGACCACCTCGCCTGGGGCCTGGCACATCCCCCGAAGCCCCCTCAGCCCCTTGGACACCGAGACTTTCAACTGGCCTGATGTCCGAGAGCTCTGCTCCAAATATGCCTCCCAGGACGAGGCGCTCCAGGCCAAGGGCAGCCGGCCGCGCAACCTGCCCGTCAACCGGAGCCACTCGCTGCCGGAGAACATGATGCAGCCGCAGCCACCCCTGTCGGGGAAGGTGGGCCGCTGCTGCAGCCTGAACGCCAGGAGGGCCCCGGCAGGCCCAGGGGTCGCCCAGCCTCGGCCTCTGGCGGGGTCGCCTCCAAATGCGCCGGACGGAGGGGAGGCCCTGTACGTCACCGCAGACCTCACACTGGAGGACAGCCGGCGGATGGTCGTCATGGAGAAGGGGCCCCTGTCCGGCTCCAACGCGGGACTGGAGGCAGGCAGCGGGCGGGGACCGAGCTCACCAGCGGCCCAGGCGGGGCAGGGCCCGGAGTTCCGGGGGTGTGCAGAGTATCGGCCTAAAGAAGAGGGTCCCAGGGACCCGGCAGACCCAAGCCAGCAGGGCAGAGTGAGGAGCCTGCGGGAGAAATTCCAGGCTTTGAACTCCACAGGTTGACACTGAGTCCTGGGGGAGGGAGCAGCCGTGCCGAGGGACCGGGAGGAACGGTGGCATCCTCGCTCACAGCCTGGGCTCACCGTGCTCACCCGAGCCCCACCCGGGGCCCTCAGAAAGGCCGCCCCTGGGAGAGCGCCCTGGGGCACCGGGCAAGGGCCTTCACCTGCCGTAGGCGCGCCAGTGACTTGCGAGCCCCTTTGCCCTCCGAGGCCAGTGTGGCCGCTTCCCTTGTATATAGTTCTTCTCTAGTAAGAGGCCAGATAGTTAAACTCATCTCTTCCCAGGGAGAGCGAGCCCTGCTCAGGCCTCCAGTGTTGCCTGGCTGCTGCCAGACTGAGGGCCCACCCAGGGGACACACAGGAGTGTGGCCTGGGGAGGCTTTGCTCTTTAACTGTGCCTTTTCTTAGGATCCGGGCAGGAACGAGGCCCATAATTTATTGCTTTCTACCCTGTGGTATGTTGGTGTGCTCGAGCGTGTGTGTATGTGTGTGCTGTTGTTGATTTCCCTCCTGGGAAGAATGTCGTGGACTCTGTTCAGGTACTTTTGTGGGTTGTCTCGCTGGCCCCGTGGTTGTCACTAATGTACACACATTTTGTTATTTGCCAATGGTGTAATAACCACTGCTGACCAACCAACCTGTTGAGTGGTCTCCTTACTGGTGTCTGGCCGGGCTGGGGAGAGGCGATCGTGCCCAGGCCTGTCTCAGGGGAAGCGGGACGTGGGCTTGTTGCTTCCACATGTGCTCATTTGCAGCCATGCTCACGAAGCACGAGGCCCCAGGTGCTGGCGCGGGAGGCTGGGGCAGCAGGATGTGTGGGAGGGGACTTGTTCTGCTACTTCTGTTCCCACGGGCTTCTGTCTCCCCACAGCCTGGCGTCCTGTCTGGGGTAAGGTCAGGGGGCACCGTGCCAGCCTTTAGCTCTTTTCCCCAGGTGCCAAAGTTGGACTGAAAGGGGTGGGGTGGGGGTGGAACGTTTTTCTAACAGGCAGATATTTCCACGTCTGGTGCCTTTTATTCTTCTCTCCCTTGCTAGTTCCCAGGAGACATCTTAGGGGGCAAGGATTCTCAACTTGGAGCCTAGAAATATCTTAAGTGGCTGGCAGTATTGGGTGAGGGGTACAGATGCATTTTTTCTGGGATGGAGCCTCATTCTTCATCTTATTCTCAAAAGTGTCTTTGATTCAAAAGGCGTAGGATTGCCTCCTACTTCTGACTGGGTTTTCTGCCTTTTTTTTCCTTGGTGGACCAGCTTCGTTTCGCCCTGTTGCTTCTGGCTGGGGCCTGGGAGGAGTGGGGCTGCAGGGCCAGGTGGTAGAGCTGTCTTGCAGGTCTTCTGACCTAGGAGGACGGACTCAGCCTGAAGATGGGTCTGCTGAGTCTAATGAGGTCAAGGGAATATCAGAGGCAAGTGGAGGCCTTTCCTGAGCAGAAGCAGAGCAGGGCTGGCCCATGTTCTGCCAGCTGGTCAGAATGGTCTGTGGGCACTTGCACAGTCGCTGAGAGCTGGCTCCTACTAGACAAGTCTCTGATTGTGATGAGTAGCCACACACTAGAGTGAGAGTCAGGAGATCCAGCCCTGCATTTAACTAGCTGGGTCACCTAAACTCATGCTTTTTCCTCCTCTGTAAATTAAAGAAGATGGATGAGTTGTTGCTTCTCAAACTCTCTGACTCAGACTCTTCAGGAGGTGAGGGCTGGGGAGTAGTAGTCAACACCTTCCCCAGGTGATCCTTAGGTTATACCTGGGAACCCTGGACCAGCTCAGTGGTTCTTACTGGCTGTCCACTGGAATCATCAGGGCAGAGAACTTTTTGAAAAATGCTGATGTCTAGGTTTCACCCACCCAGACCAATTGAAACTGCGCCTCCGGAGATGAACCCCAGGTGTGTGGATTCTGATTTTCAGATCTCTGTCCTGAGCTCCGTGGGGAAAGGCCTGCAGCAGGCCCTCAAGATGGTTGAATGCATGAATAAGCGAGCTTTTCTCAGGGTCTCAAGTGAAGCACAGAACCTAGGTGCCAGCAGAGTTGTTCCCATAAGACTCCAAGGACGAGCCAGGGTCTGGCTGTGCCTCTTGTCTCCATGGCGGTCCTGTGTTCACAGATTCTGCCTTGCTCAATCCACCAGCCCCCTTTGGTCCAGTTCAAAGGGAAATAGGCGAGTCAAATAAGAAACGGAAATATGGAGCGTTATTGATTTATTAGAAAAACTAGTAAATGGGTTTTCTCTGGTTGGTGGAAGCACATTTGAGCAGGTGGAGGACAAGGCCCAGCCGGCCCCAGGGCCAGCCCCAGATGGCGTGGTCTGTGCCCAGCAGGGTGGCAGTCCTCTGCAGCCACCTCCTCCCTTGCATCCTCCCTGAGCTTACTTGTCCAAGGGACTGAGCCACGGGGTCCTCTGGATCTCTGCCCCCTCCTACTGAAGGGAGGAGGGCGATCCAGGGCCAGCCTCGGGGACTCTCTTTGCTCTCCAATAGGCAGGAAGGAGGAGTGGGGTGGCGGGGAAGCCGAGCCACCACACCCCCCCCC